ACTTTACGACCCCCCAAACTCACACCCTCCCTTCCGGGGGCTGCTGTGCTGGAATCGAAACCCGGAGCTTCCGTCCCTGTCCAGGACAGCCCGCGTTGCCCTCCCTGAGTCCAGCCAGCCCTGCCCTCTCCCGCCCACCACTCAGAACCGTGCCACATGCCTGACTTCTGGGGTATAAAGCGCTTTCTTAAATTACCACCTTCTAAGTGTTTGTGTCGCTTACATCTCAGCTGAATGTCACATCTACTCTTTACTCACACTCCACCTGGACCAAGTGACTAAGACGTTCTAGTGAAGACCCGTTGGTTGGGGTAGGGATGGCCTGTCAGGACCCCTCAGGCGTGTGCCTGAGCTAGCCCTCCTCCAGGGAGAAGGCTGTGGCCACACGTCCTGACTTAAAGGACGTACCAGCTGATCAGTTATCACACCACCTCCCTACGGCCTGTTAATGGAACAGGGTGGGTCCAGGAGCCGCCGTGTAGAGACATCCCACATCTAAGTGAGGGTCACCAACGCGCTACGTCATGTGACTTCATTTGGGTTAAAAAACTAACTCCTACTTGTGTTGTGAGCACAGAAAGCATCTGTAAGAATTCCAACCTGTAGCGGGGTCACCTCTCAGGGGGGCACTCTGGGAAGGACGCCGGAGAAAACTTACCTTCCCACCAGTAACCGAGAAATTTGCAAATATGCAGTATTTCTCATTCTTGTGGCCGGTGTACGTCTTCAGGCACTGCAAGGCAAGGGCAACAGTCTCTACTCAGTCACGCTTTCCCCGCGTTCCGGGTGCCTCCCCGAGTCTGAGGGCGGGCGCTCTATGACTGACTAGACTTCGTTCAGAAAAGCACTCTAAACCCCTCCAGCACAAAACCAACGTGCTTGGGCTCTGCCTTGCAGGCTGGCAGGCTGCAAACTCCGCGTCTTTAAGAAGTGTGCATTAAACCAGCGCAATGGAGCCGGCTCGCTGAATCCCCTCTGCTTCAGCTCCAGGCTCAGCTCTGTCACCAACCAAAGCCACAGCCCAGGACACTGCACAGCCCAGACTCAAGCAAGCCGTCCCCCAGCTGCTCACCTTCCCCTTGCTGTAGTCCCAGAGTTTCAGCGTGCTGGAAGGCAGAGAAAGGGGGTGAGTCATTTCCGGGGTCTCTCTGAAGAGGCCTGTCTGCTGTCACTGTGCCCTGTGCTGCTTGCATGTTTGCAGCAAACATGCAAACAGTCTCTCCGAGGAGTGACTGTCTCCTGTCACTGTGCCCCTGTGCTGCTCGCATGTTTGCAGCAAAGCCGACGGCAGGAGCCCCCTCCCCCCGTCCATATGCGGGGGCCCAGCAGGCGGGACACGGCATCCGATGATCTAAGGACATCCCAGCGCAAAGTGCAAGAACCCCAAATACTTGTGGTTCAAAGACACGTTTTTAAAGGAAGCTGCTGGGAGCTCCCTAAATCGTTACGTGGTCATCGCATTCCCACGCGAAAGGGATGTGGGGGTGCTGGTCCCAGAACCCCCCAGAACAGAGGTCAGCGGCAGCACTCCCTCCTCCCTGGGCAAGAACACAGCCCTCCCACATGGGGGGTGCAGAGCCTGCAGGGAGCTTGGGACCCAGGCGCAGTCCCAAGTGTGCACAGGGAGGCGGAGCCTAAAGGACCTCCCGCAGGCAGAAGGGCGACAGTCGGACTGATGGGGAAGTCTGCTCCCACGTGTGGGGGCACGCCAAGGTGCTGAGACAGAACCAGGAGGCAGGAACCCCCTCCAGAGAGGGGCCGGGGGAGGGGCTGCCCTGGCCACACCGTCACCGCAGAGACTCGCCCCTGGCACACAGGCCCCTGCCAGCATCCCAGGAGCCGTGTCTGGGTCCACACGGGGCTCAGGAGGCTTAACACTGGAGGAGGCGGCTCCCCGGCAGGTGGGAGGCTCGAGAGCTTACTTGTCCAAGGTCGCAGCCAGGATGTACTTGCCGTTCGGAGAGAACTTCACAAAAGACACGGGAGGGTTGTCGTCATCTGCAGGGAAACAGGTGAGCTGAGGCCAGGACACCGGGGCCGGGGCCGGAAGGAGGAGGCCCCGTCACTGCACAGGACCGTCCCAGTGAGGCCACTGCCACCGGTGCCACCGCCACCACCGTGGTCAGAAGCCCCGACAAGCTGGCGGCACCCCCCTTCACCCCTCACTCGTGCCAGTTGTGAGAGCCATGTCGAGGCTCCTCCAGCCCGCGGCTCCGCGGGCCCGACAGGCCCAGAGACCTGTGCCACAGGGCCTGAGGAGCCCAGCAACTCAGTCAGGCTGCCGGGCTTCCGGCCAGCAGGGGCCTGCACGAGGACGTGGCATCAGGTTGCTCACACGCACAGTGTGCAAGTCCCCAGCTGGGCTGAGACTACGAGCACTGAGTGACGGGTAGATAAGCTCACGTCTTCCTGTTCCTCGGTTACAGCAAGATTTCTAAGTTCCCTCCAGAAGCCACCTTCACCATTTGGCCACGTCCTTGCTTCTGAACCCCGGGAACTTGGGTCAGGGCCACCGCGGGGCTCAGCGAGCACCCCTCTCACAGCTGACAAGGGGTCAGCACTCCGACAGCCCAGCTATGTGACGGTCCTACAAGCCTCACGTTGGGAGGAGCGCGTTTCCCTGGCCCGAGTGAGGAGGGGAGGGGACATGCACCCTGGTGTGGGACCAGGGGTGGCTGGCGTCCCGAGCACCGGGGGACAGCAGCATCACCACCTAGGAGGACCCGGGCCTGGCCATGGCGCCTCTGCCGCCAACTGGCCCCAGACACTGGAAAGGCCACTCACAGGCGCCGCAGGTCCCAGGACCACACGGGAAGGCAGCCCCGAGGTGAGGTGAGGGTGCCGGCAGTTCTAACCCCAGCTCTCTGGTTAGCAAGGCGTCACGGGACCTGCCAGCTCAAGTCCAGAAAGTTCTAACTCCTTGACCTGCAGTCAGAAATGGGCAGGAAACGGCAGCCCGCACCCCTGCCTCCCCGGGCTCTCGCTGCTGGCCTTGAGCTACGCAACCAGCATCCCGGGCCTGCTTCCCACCCAGCTGCAGGGTGGCCATGAGGGTCAAACGTGTCAACACAACAGGGCTAAACACCCGGCAGAGGTGGCGGCACCAGCCCCCGGGGAGAGGCTGTGCGACGTGGGATGCCCGTCACAAGGGTGGCCCTGTAGAGCAAGCAACCACTAAGGCCGCTGCTAGGGCCGAGCTGTACTGTGTTCTCTCAAAACCCTCATCCTGAAGCCTGAACCCCAGCACCTCCGACGTGGCTCTACCTGGAGACAGCCTCTAACGGGCTGCTTCAGGGCCCTTCCGGGGGGCCCTGCTCCAAGCTGACCGGTGTCTGTAAGACGAGGTGATCAGGACACCAGGGCACGCTCACAGGGGAACCAGCATGCGTGGCCACACGGAGAAGGCCGAGGACAGGCCTGCCGACACCAGAGCAGTGGGAGGAGTTTCTGTCGCTGAGGCCGCCAGCCTGTGGTGTTGTCATGGTGGCCCCAGCAGCCTCACGGCTGCGTGTGCTTCCCTGACAGCCGCGGGAAGGGCGCTCAGCGGCGGTGCTCCCCCCACATGGGACTGACCGCAGCCCGGAACGCTACAGCCGGCCTTGCTCCACCCCTAAACCTAGAACTAACTGCGAAGGCCTCCAGGCTGACTCGGGTGATTGGCCCTCCACCAGCAACGCTCCCCTGATCAAAACCTCCCCAGGACAGCCCCTCCCCAGGGCCCACCACGCCCTGTCCACGCGCAAACCTGCCCAGGACAGGCTAAGTCTTCCCACTCACTACATTACACCCCGGCCCAGAGCCCTCCCTTCGTCCCCAAGGCGCCACTCCAGCGCCACCTGCAGAGGCCACCGTGGCTTCCTTCAGGCTCCATCCCGCCCGCCCCTGTGCAGCCCTGGCAGGAGGGCCAATCGCATCTGCTCAAGACAGATCTGAGAGAGCCCCCGAGGCTGAGCCCGGGGAAGACCAAGGGTCTGCCAGGCACAGGCAGAGCCGTGGGCTCAGGGGCCCTTCCAAGGACACGAAGGGGCCCCAGTTCACCAGGAAGGAGCTGGTGGGAGACAGAGCAGTCAGGGGGAGGGGAGCCTCCCAGAGGGGGCAGATCCAGGACAGACGAGAAGGGAGGCGGCACAGGAGAGCGCCCCCAGCTCACCCAGCTGCGTCACCTGGAGGAGAGAAACATGGAACAGGAGGCAGAAGCCCAGCACTCACCAATCAGCGTCTTTAAGCACTGGCCGGAGGCAGTGTCCCAGATCCGGCTGCAAAACAAGACAAAAACTGTTAACAAGCGAGTTCCTACACACAGCTTAAGTGCTCCATGGTTCTTAATCAGGTACAAGCTTTACAACCGACATACTTTCCCTCCATTTTTTCAGGTATGCCTCACTCATCTCTTACAGTCTAGGGACCGAGGTGGCACTGCACCCTTGGGCTCCATGTGTGCTTGTTTCTCTTCCACAAGGCGCATGTCCACAAGAGGCACCGCGGGGGGGTGACAGGCCCCTCCACCCTCCTTGGCCCTGGGCCGGAGCCCAGCATGGTTCCTTGCAGGTCTCCAGGCGCACACACACACCTGAACACATAGCCACTCTGGGGAGTTCGTTTTATATAAAAATAGACGATCACATGCAGTTTTCTAGACAGCCTTCAGTTCAAAAGCGAATTTTCTTTTTTTTTTTTTTTTAAGATTTTAATGGGGAATTGGGGAAGGGGAACAGTGTTAGGGAATTACGTTTCTGCCACTACTATACGTGGAACTGTTTTCTCACCCACTTACTGTTAACTCCTGACAGAGAAACTGTAGGTTTCCAAGCATTTCCCGTATCAAAGGCTGGGTCACACTTTGTAGCCGGCAGGACCCTGGCTGTCACTTACTCGCTGAAGGGAACGGGCAAGTGCTGATGCCTGTCTCAGTTTCCCAACTGAAAAGCTGGGTGGCGAAAACCACGTGGCCCCATCCCAGCACTGGTATGAGGCTGAACAAGCTGGTGTCCGTCAAGGGCTGTATCAGTGGTTTTAAATCAGAAACATACAAACACACCATCTGCTGCTGAGCTCAATCTCTACCCAGTGTTCAAACAATTACTTTTATTTTCTTATCACATCAACTAGAAACTCCAGTACACTGAACGACAGGGGAATGGCATGACTGTTTTGCTCCTGACGTTAGTAGAAACGGATGTAGCGTGTCACCACTTATTATAAAAGATATTCAAGTTTGTGGAAAATGGACAAGATTGGCCTATGCTGATGGAGTTTTTATTCAGACGGGATGCTGGCTCTTATCAGCTGCCTGCCTGCCTTCTACTGGTAATAAATTATATGGCCGTCTGCCTTGCTTTATTGGCACGATTAATTAGATTATGGGTTTTGTGATGTTTATATTTTCACAATCCTGTCATTACCCAACAAACCCACCTGGTCATGGAATATTATTTTTACTGCACTGCTGGGCTCACTTTGCTAATGGTGTCTCTGGAACGTGACACTGACATTCTACATGAGTGAAATGTCTGCTGTGGTTTTCGTTTTGGACCAGCAATTAAGCGTGGGGAGGGGGATCGTGCTAGACCCGTAATGTAGTAGAGGGCGCCCGATTCTTCTGTGGTCAGAAGTGTCAACAGGTGTAGAAGTCTCTGCTGTGTAAGTAAATTCCAGTATAAAATCACGGGGCCCAATGGCACTTTTAGCCTTTCAACCACCTTTTCCAGCCCCTTCACTGGGGATGGGTCCCCCAAGTCCCCCTTCCTCAGTCAACTCAGGAAACAGAAACTGCTCAAGTCGCACCTGCTGCTGTGATGTGGAGCACCCTCCTGTGGGAAGCCACCCACGCTGTTTTCAACCTGCTTATTGTTGTTCTTTTCTCTCGTTTGGGCTTATAAAGTCTAATATTTACTGGCCTTATTAAAGAATAGAGTTTTTCAAAATTTTCTATTGTTTTCCCCCCTTCTCCATCTTTTAACTTCATAAACTTCCTCCTCCACTTTCTTAGTAGCTTTATATTTTTCTGATTTCTTTAGAAAGCTTTTAGAGCCAGTCCACAAGCCATTCTGACTGGTCTCTGCTCTTGAGAAAATGCCCATTTTCCGTGTTCAGCACACACCTTCCTGCCCGTGAGTACACACAGCCTGGGCTAGCATCCAGGTCTGCTGAGTCCTAGGTCCCCTTCTGTCACACGTGTTAGGTTTTCGTTCTGGTATTTCCAGTTTTCACCTTGGGTTGCTGTGTTGCTTGGTGCAAAGGTTTCGAGTTCTTTGTCATCAAGTCCGCCTGGTTTGTGACGTGTTCCTCTCCCTGCTTGAGGCTCCATCTTTAAATCCCACTCATGTAAGTAATGTTGCTCTTTGCTTTCTATCTGCCCGACATCACCTGCCCATCCTGTGTCAAACCCGTAGTGGCCACTTGGTTTTAGGTACGTTTCCCGGAGACAACCCAGGAGTCGGAGGCTTTTAACCCAAACCTGACGGCCTCTGATGAGGGGGTTCAGCCGACTCCGCTACTCCTGGAACACCTGATCCGTTTCATCGCCTCTCCTCCCACACATTGTCACAGGTATTATTCATGTGCCTCTATTTTCTTCTTACGTTACTTTTGCTAAATGTGGACAAATTTCTAGTTCACACTGTCTTTCTCCCTCAAAACTGGGAAGTTCCACTTGGGTCATCAACTCAGACACTTGGCTGCCATGCTGTCCCCTCCCAATGAGTCACGATGCCATCCGTCTAAACCCAATACAACGAACGCTTCACCCGCACGTGCTCCCATCACGGATTTCACCGAGTTAAATCTAAAACATAGACTTCTGCCGTCTGCCCTCATGTCTCTTAAATGTGCACACTTGCATGATGAACTCCGGGCCCTACAAGCATGACCCACCGAGACTAAGCTGGATGCTGTGCTTGTCACCACTCTCCTGAACCTGACACTTTCTCAGTGAGATGCCAGGCTGGTTCACTGACTGCCCGGCTGTCAGCACGGTCCCCTCTGCGCACCAAGGCCGGGAGCCTGTGACGCTCACACCCGGCTGTGTGTACACGGAGCCCGGTCCAGCCCAGAGCGCCTCACTGGGCATCTGCGGAGGAGCCCCGCACCCCGCTGTCTGCCTCGGCAGTGCTTTCACCCCAAGGCTGTGCTGTGTGTCTGTCTGTCCGCAGCCCCTGCCTCAGCTTGAGGGTAGAGACCTGTTTCCGCTGCCGTACACCCCGAGGCCCGCCCAGTGCAGAGGCCTTTACCAAACACTGGCTGATGAAGGAAGCTTCTCCACTCACCACAGCCCATCGTAGCTGCTCGACACTATCAGTGATCCATCCCGGTTAAAATGCACCTGACAGGAGGAGGGGAGGGGGAGAGAGAAACGTACTTTTAGACCACCGACACGTTGCTTCTTATCGGAGCGGCCCTCCCACTCATGAACGTTCACGACAAACCCATGCACCTGATACTCACTATGCACCATCATTTGCTTTCAATTCTGCTGATTTCCTGAAGACGCTGAGACACGTGAGCAGCAGAGATAAAATGATCATTTTTACCCAGAGTCTCACGCAAGTTTGTTTTACAAAGGATGTTTGAACCATAAAAAGAAAACCAACCCCGACACCGTCTTGAGTAGGTAAATCACTTCCTACAAAATGTACTGTTGGAAACAAACACACACAACCAACCAACCATCCAAGACCCACTCGCCTCCCGGGTAGAGGCTGAGCCTGAGAGCTTGTCTGTGGACCTGCCGCTGCGGTGAAGGCAGTCTGACCCCAAAGTGGCTAAAAATGACTTCCCCTGACCTTACTTTGGAAAAGCAACAAAACTCAGGAGAGGAAAACCCACTTTCTCAGTAACTATCCCACAAACGGACTTGGTGCCTTCTCACTCAGGGGTCCTGCCCAGACAGTGCCGAGAACCAGGAGTCCTGGACACCTAGTGCTGGGGACGCCCCAGCAGCTCAAGCTTTCCGGATGTGCACCGGCGACAGAGACGAGGTCCAGGCTGCTCCAAACCTTGTCCCCAGGCACCGTAAGATCCCCACTTTGTGGCTGCTCCCAGAGGTTTCACTATGGAATTTCCACACCATTTCTGTGATCTGAAAGCCTAACTCTGCCCATGACAGGGGAAGGCGGGACACATCTTCTGATAAAAAAATTCCAACCTGAGAAGTCCCTTTCTTCTATCTGACTTATCTTTGGGTTTTTTTCTTCTTTTTTCCAAATGAATCTTAGTGGGAATAAATGTGCCCAACCCCATCCAAGTACCACCAGTGGCAAACACAGGTGTCAGAGGCAATTCAGCCCATACGGTACCGTCCAGAAGACAGTCAAAAAACGTAAATGCTACAAAGAAACGAGAGGCGACGAGACAGAACCTAATGGAGACGTCAAGTCTCAACTCACATGAACACACTCAGCACTCCCTACGGAGGGGACACTGGAGACAATGAGCTCAGGCAAAACCACCGAGGCAGGAGATGGTGAGCGAAGCAAAGGAGAAAACAGGCCACCCGGCTATGGCAAGGGGGCGAGGGGTGCAGGACAAGATGCACAGAGGGGGGACTTCAGGATAAGAAGAGCTGATACAGGAGTTCAGGCAGGAGAGGACAGCGGCCCGATAAAGTGGAGGAAGGGACAAGAATGGGGAGGAGGCCAGCAGAATGCCAGCATCTTGAGGCTTCCGGCTCCAAGATGTGTCTGCTAAAAAGCTCAACACGTGTGCTCGGACACGGCGTTCCCCTTTAAAGTCGGCCCTGCAGAGACCGTCACGCACGCAAACCTTCAAAGGAACGTGTGCCCCGCACGCCCTCTGGTAAAAGTGAGTTACAAACAAGCATCCCTGGGGTGACTGGCACACTGTCGGCTATCCACAGGGCGCGCAGTGCCAGCAGTTGGGGGCTGCAGGACATGTGGGGACATGGGGATGCCCAAGGCACCTTCGTCGCAGAGCAGCTATGGTGCAGAACCACTGCTCATTACGTTCAGGAGGCACACTGGGAAATACACTGAAAAACCAAAGCGCCCGGGGGCAGACTCCAGCTGCGGGCAACTGACCCTGGAAGCAGGAGGGCAGCGGACTCATCTTCCGCTCGCTGCACTGCCTGTATTTTAATGAGCTCAAGTTACTTTTGTAAGAAACAGAGACTTTCAAAATCCTACCGTTTAAAAATCAGGCCCCACCTCACCACCCCTGACCACAGAATGCAGACAGGGCGCTTTCAGTGCATTTCCTGGTCACCGTCACTGCGCGCGCTCGCTTATGGGCCTTCTGGGTGAAAGTCAGTTCTACTCGGACTGTGCTCCACACTGGAGGGCAGAGGGCACAGGCATGGGGTCGGGCCAGGCGCCCTCTCCTCAGCAAGCCGCCCTCCTCCACACCCAGGCACTGGCGTGGCCCCGGGTTAGCAAAGCTATGCCCTGGGCCTGGCCTCCGCGCCAGCCACCAGCACACGCCACGCGTGCTGTGTGGATCAGGGTTCCGCTGTGGCCTCAGTGGCCTCAGCCGGGCCAAAAGGCCTTCCAAGGATGAGAAGCACTCACCCACACAACTTGAGGGAGTGAGAAGGACCCCCTGCTCAGTGAAAAGGAACGGACTGTTTACACGGGAGTCCTCCTACTGTTCCAAAGGCAGACTTCACTACGAAACCACCTCAGGCTCTTTGCTAACAAAGGGAGACTTTGGCCAGTTTTTAAACGGAGTGATTTACGACACTGTGTGTGGTCTGACTCTTGCACACTCATTTTGCACATTGGCGGCATCTGCAACTCGGCAGGACACGGAGCACAGGCCGTGCACTCAAGGGGCCCTGCCTGCCGAGCAACCTCACCCACGCGGGGGTCACCCCGCCAGCCTCCACCCGTCAAAGTTAACGCCACTCTAAACTCACACTTCACTCCCGGCCACAGCCCCCAATGCGTGGCCTCTTCTTCCAGGCCTGGCCGCCCCCCAGCCTGTACGCTGTGGTTCAAGGACGCCCCCGCCAAAACCACCTGTCCTTCCACGGGGCACAGGACTGTGGGATCTGTCTGGGGCCCCCAACGCCCCATCTCTGACCATCACTCTGTATTGCTGGGCGAATATCAAGAGCTGGACATTTACAGGCCAGAGGAACTTACGGCTGAGACTGGATCTGAGTGTGCAGGCAAAGTCTTGAGGCACTTCCCTGTCTTCACGTCCCATATCCTCACACTCTCATCAAACTGAAGACAAAGGAAGAAATTAAAGCGATTCCACGGGGAGCGGGAGAGCGGAGGAGCTGACAGACCCTCCGGAACCCACAACCAGCCACCCCGCCCCATCAGCCCCCAAGAGCAGCAGAGAAGGACCCAAGCTCACCTATCCCGGGTGCTACAAAGTGAGACGCGACGGCCACTCACTCCCCCTCCCACCAGGAGAGCCCAGCGCACTTACGGAGCCTGAGACGATGAGGTTGGACTGGGGGTTGAAGTTACAGCAAAAGACATAATTACTATGTCCCTTCAGTGTTTTCAGACACTTTCCCTAAAATGAAATATTGTCAGACTGTTATTCCCAGTAATTAATGTCGGTGTCAGGCCCACTCATCCATACCTAACCTACAACAGCTGCAAAGCACCTGCCGACAGCAAGGACATCCAGGGACCAGCTGCTCCCCAAACCCAACCCAGCCTCTCCCACGGCGCCCCTTCGCCACCTACACACCCCTCACCCGGAGGGAGAGTGAGGTTGGTGCGGCTTACCGAGCTCACGTCCCATATCTTTAGGGTTTTATCATCTGAAGCAGAAACAAGGAGGTTGGAATCCGACGACCAGGCCACATCCGATATTCCCTGGAGAGAAAAACACAGGGTCACCATCCTGATGGGACAAAATACAAATAACCAACAAAGGTCAAACCCCCAACTAAAGACAAATATGCACGGTCATCCCACTCTCGAAACCTATAGCTAGTGTGGTCCCCGAGAAAATGCATGTCCTCCGCGGCTCTGCCAGGCCTCGCAAGGGGCAGGTGCCCATCTGGGGACGGTCAAAAGCATCTGCTTAAAACACAGGTAAATAACGACTAAGAAAAAATTGGGGGGGGGGAATGTAACATCCTAACCTGACAAGCCCTAGAGTGGGGCCCGACCCACTTGCTCATGGAGCTATACTGCCCAGCAGTCAGCAGCGTGCAGCGCCCACACCTACCAACTTGTGACCAGATATGGTTTTCTCAAATTTTCCATCATAGGCGCCCCAAATTTTAATGAGTTTATCTGCAGCTGAAAGAAAGAAGTAAAAAAGAGCTGAGGCTGTCCAGTCATCCAGAGTCCAAAATCTGGGCTTTCCCACATGAGCCCCCAGGGACCGAGTGAATCGCTCAGGAGCTCTGAGCGCGCACCGCCCACAGAGAATGCCCCCCCCCATCCTCAGGCGCCTCCC